GTCGGGACTAGGTCACGAGGCGCCGCCAACCGACATACACAAGCACACAGCAACATCGCAACACGCACTAACAACAAAAGCCGAGTAACTTATCCGATAATTCCGAACCATACATAAATCGCTAAATCAGATCTGCAGTAAAATGCAAGCCAACTACTGTGTGTGGTTGAGTGTGATATGGTGGTCTGTTCCACCTGTGCACAAGTCAGCTGTTCAGTTCGCTGCTTATTTTACTGTACTGGGGTGCGATTACTTTAAAACTAACAAGCATTTTTGAGTTGCTGTGAAGCCTTATCTTGTTTCTTTTTATTGCTGCCGATTCACTTTACTGTAAGTTGTAACATGTAACTGTTAAAATCAAACAACCAAGTGAATTGACTGTTTGATGCCAGCTAACAATGTGCGTATTTTAGCCTTTTTTAGTCTGGTTTGACCGCATTATCTTCCGTGTTTCATAAAAAGGCGGACATCATAAATGCAACTTTCCCGTGGCCTCAAAACATAAAAAGGTATCGGTAGGATTCCACCGAGTATGCATGCTAAATGTGTCGCCTAGGCCACTTTTTAGTGTTATAGGATTATTGAATGAGCGACACCGCGACTACAATGCATCGACACAACATGCTATCGGCGCGCAGTACATCACATGCAATGCATCGTGCATGCATGCATCGTACGCACGGCGCCGCTCCACGTACCCGCACGCACTGGCACGACACGGCACGCATCGGCCCGACCTCCGCACGCACCCCAAACGCACGAGCACCCGCACCGGCAGCGCGGCCATACATACTACCGCCGCACGCACCACATTAACACAATACACACAACCTGAAAGCATCTCTACCGTTGGGAAGTTTGTCTTAGATTTTTCGCTGCACCAGCTGTGCGCGGCAGTGATTGGGCTGTTTATACACCCGTACAGCAGTCCCAGGCAATGCTTTTGGTGTGTGCGTGTGTCGCGTGCCGATGTGGCGTGGCGTGGCGTTCGTGCGTGCCGTGCGTTAGTGTGGCTTGCTCATAGCTAGGGTGAAGCTCAACCCCACATACAGTTAAAATGTTTAGATTATTAATAGCCCTTTAAGCTACATTAGTATCCTACACACTATTCACAACCACACAATTAACACACACCCACCAGCTAGCGAGACAAAAACCACACATTAATAGTCCAACACATCAACAGCATGGTTGCCATGGTGGTGGTTTAGTAATAAGTTACTCGGATATGTATAGGTGGTATCGTGTGTGTTCATAGACAATCGAAAGCGGAGTCTAACAGATTGGTCAGAGCATTAGGGAGCTGGTAAAGCGCAGGCACGGTTACACTCCGCGTTGTCGAAACACTGATCTTAGCACACCGCGCGCACACCCACGCACCGTACACACAACCGAGACGAACATTGATGAACCAACACACTAACAGCATATATCGGCCGATGCGCCGCAGCACACACACACGACACACGCACACCAACACACCACACACACGAGACCACACACACACCACAGCACACACAACAACACACACACCACACACAACACACACACGAAACCACACAAACAACCATACAAACTGTAGCTCGTCTCTCGTTTACAATTTCGCGCACGACAAACCACACAGCATGTGCGGCAGCAGTGCTTGGTTGTTTATACAAAGATCCCGCCCGCCACCACACAAATGGCATCTTGGGGCGTCTAGCCGAGTGTGTGCGCATGCGGATTGTAACTCTTAAAAGTTGGGTATCATCACAGCGGGTTCCGAATGAATGCCGAAGTTTCCTTCGTGGCACCCATAACTTTAGAAAAATTTGCTTCCAAAGGCTCACTTTAACGATGGAAAACATCCACGCGAGAGAGCAGTCTAAAACGTGCGGAATGTATTCGCGCAACAGCAAATACACCACGAATAAGGCGAGCGAGGCACGTCGTCACGCTCGATTTGCCGCGAGCCACACACACACACACACACAAATACAAACACACACGTGTGCGCGCGCCCGCACACACACACACAAATACGCACGCACGCACGCACACACAAACACACACACACACACACACACATACACACACACACACACACACACACACGCACACACAAACACACACGTACACACGCATCGACTCACATATGAATACAACACACATGCAGGGCCTAATCTAGCTGCTTAATATGGGCTTATATGGCTTATCTGTCACATTAAATTGGGCGTTTGGTCGACACATTTTATTCAGATAATCAGGGTTCTCCAAGAGCACTTATAGCCTGGCCGCCCGCCAGGCTATCGTCGAGCCCCGCCATCCTAAAATGCACCCGCCATTCTAAATATCATAGCCGCCATGCTAAATATCCGCCATATGCGCCATATCCGCCAATATGCCGCCATGCTATATAATGAAAAAGCCTGGAGAACCCTGATAATAGATTATCGATCTTATATGAGCATTTTATTATAAAACAGTGCCTATGATGATAGATAACGATACTACATAATGATAGTAACGATACTAACATAACTATACTACATAATGATAGAATCATGGAGATCTGCATCAGAGCTCTGCTAATTTGGACGTTTTATGAATTTTGTAATTTGGGCGCCGGTATTTGGTATGAAAAATGGCGTGGATTAGGCCCTGACACGTCTCGTATAGATCATGTTGGAATAATAAAGTTGCAGTATTGGATTCACTATTATCTTTCATTATTGAAAGCATTATCATTTTAATTTGAATTTTTAGTTTATAGGGCCCTGGATAACCACAGTTTGAACTGGGTTTAAATTAACATGATACTGTTCAAAAGGGAGTATATATATATATATATATATTTCACGCACAGTTTAGTATCAAACATTTACTTTTTGGATAACGATGATATCATGTCTTGTACAAATATCAAATTTAATTTATCATAGAATAACTATTCAGTCTATTGCTCCCTAAGCAATTTATTGTCTTGTGTTTATTCTCATTTCTACACAAATACCAGAGATAATAGCACAAGTTTGTTGCACTAAGGGTTGTTGCTGGGGTATCTTTCATCTCATTTATACAAATAACTTGAAAGTTGAAGCATTTAAAATTACTGTTAATGAAAAAGGTGTAGAGTATCATATATGCATTAATTTTGTACTAGCAAGATGTTTTGAACTCTGAAAATAAATTGTTTAGACGAGATGTACATGGATGTACTTCACGTTTGCAGACGTTTATTGTAGGCAACAGTATATGTAAGACTGTTTGTTGAATGTCCATAATATATATTTGAGAAAGGAGTCTGAAACTGCCAGAAAGTATGTGCAGAACGGTGTAAAGTTTTCAAATTGGTAGAGGGGTGTCACACACAAATGTAGCCAAGAGCTAATAGTACCGTAGCAGGGGTAGAAATTAACTTTTGAACACGGGAGTCCAACGGACTCCCTACCCTCAAAAAGAGGGAGTCCGCAGCAAAATGAGGGAGTCCGCAGTCTGAGGTTCAAAATTAAAGATATTAACAATAACGCATGTGCTAATTTTTAAGATTCATGCAGTTGCACGTCTGCCAAATTTTCTTTGGACATTAGCTGAAAAAATACAGTAATTCCGCGAGGCCGTGCTTCGGAACAAACTATAGTTAGTATGTCAGAATTTTCAGGGAGTCACACGGACTCCTGCATATGTCAAATCAGGGAGTCCGACAGTAAATCAGGGAGTATTTGACTCCGGACTCCCGTTAATTTCGCACCCTGGTATTATTAGCTCTTGATATAATCATGTAATTATTGCAAAAATAGCACGTTGTCATGTGCCATCTGACGTCAGGGTGAAGTAGAAGCGAGATGCAGAAAAGGAATGTGTAGTGAGAAAGCGAGAAAGGTGAGAGAAAGAGAAACCTAAAGTATAGTGTAAAACTGTGAGAATGAAAAAATGAGAATGGGAGAGAGAGAGAGAGAGAGAGAGAGAGATTGAGATTGAGAGCGAGAGAGAGAGAGAGTGAAGGGAGAGAGAGGGAGTGAAGGGAGAGAGAGGGAGTGAACGGAGAGAGAGGGAGTGACGGAGAGAGAAGGGAGAGAGCATAGAAAGGGTGTTTTGTGTATGCGTCGCGTTGTAATGTGTATGTGTGTGTGAGACAGAGGAGAGAGAGAGAGAGAGACTCTGGGAGCGAGGGTGTGTGAGAGAGAGAGAGAGATAGAGAGTAAGAGAGAGAGAGATAGGGGGGGAGTGAGATAGAGAACAAGTGGTTGTGAGAGAGAGAGAGAAGAAGAAGAGAGAAGAGAGAGAGAGAGAGAGAACGAGAGAGAAGGGGAGAGAGAATAGAGAGCAAGAGAGATAGAGACGCAAGAGAGGATAGAGAACAGTGTGTGTGAGAGAGAGAGAGAGAGAGAGAAGAGAGAGAGAGAGGAGAGAGAGAGAGAGACGAGAGAGAGAGAGAGAGAGAGATTAGAAGAGCAAGAGAGAGAGAGAGAGGGGGGAGTGAGCATAGAGAACAAGTGTGTCGAGAGATGAGAGAGAGAGACCGAGAGCAGAGAGAGAGAAACAAGACAGAGAGAGAGAGAGAGAGAGAGAAACAGGAGAGAGAGAAGAGGGGGGGAGCAATCATGCAGGTACATTCAAATAGAAAGCAGCTTCAATGTGTACCAACCTGCATTAATAATGTCGGCATCGTGCAGCAAGTAAGTCAGGATACGAGCTAAGTTGGGCTCAGAATTCAGCCCAACCACTGTGAGTGTTGTGACTTGTGGTGTGTGTGTGTGCGTGCGTGCGTGCGTGGCGTGCGTGGCGTGCGTGCGGCGTAGGTTAGTGTGTTTTACATCATTCACGAATATATCTCTCAGACCTCACGCATAGGAAAGCATTGATTTCGTATTACTCTTAACGTCGTGGGTTATGGACACGCAGCATTAGTTGAAATACAATGATTCATTATGTGAGAGGTTCATAATCATTAGTGTAAACATATATCGAACTATTCGATATATTAATTATGCGTAATTGGGATTGTGAATGCTGACTCTAGAACTTGTTACGTTTCGGTATGTATTAATTAAAAAGAAAATTTTACGGTGAACAGTTTACGAAAATACTTTAGATTTATTTTTTAAATCTCAGAGTTTGAGGCACTTTTGAAGTTGCGTACTGATACCAGCAATGATGCCACCATGATGTTATCATTAATATTCATCAAAGAGTAAATGGAATAGGAGACTTCTCTAGTTCATGTACTTTGATAATACCAGCATACACGCACTACACACACACACACACACACACACACACACACACACACACACACACACACACACACACACGCACACACGCACGCACACACACATATATATATATATATAACTAAATTTGATTATATCAATGTGATGTTGCCATGTAAAGGTAAAATAGATTATAACTAGAGGCCCAAGCGTCAGACTTTATATTTGTTTCTGCTGATTCTAAAAGTTCAGCATTAAAGTGATTTTATCACCCGCAAGTAGTAGTATAGTACTAGTGATTTTTTGTACGAAATTACTCTTATGGTTTTGTGCACTTTTTATGGACAAGTTTCTGCTTTATACGGTTACCCTACACAGTACATATTGCTGTTTTGTCTGGTGTAAGCAATTATTCGAAGCTATTACACATTGCTCATAGTTTATACTTTATACATTGTTTATATGAGATTTTCAGTTGGGTTTAAAAGCACGTTGTTATCAAGTAAAAGTTTAGGGAGCTATTTAGTGTTGCTAGTACTTCCTTATTATGCAAAAAAAAATCAGTTTATAAATAAATCTTTGCAATTATTGTTCTTGATCAGTTGTGACATGATCAGTTGAAATGCTTTCCGTGTAGCGGCCTATGTGCTCCACTACTTGACCTTTTCAACAATTTACGTACCCATCCATGAAGATCTGTTAAACTGACATCTTCGATGCTACCAGTATTATTATTACTCATGCAGCATACTTTCTATGTTCAAATTCTATCGTACAGGGAATTTAAATGAAGACAGATATTAAATGAAAAGAAACAATTCCTGTTGCTTGCATGTAAGCCATGTCATTCGTATCCATGGATATAAATATACATATATATATATATGTGTGTGTGCGTGCGTGCGTGCGTGCGTGCGTGTGCGCGTGCGCACGACGTGTGTGTGTGTGTGCGTGTGCAGTCTTGCCTGCATGCGTGCGTGCGTGCGTGTGTGTCTGCGCGTACGTGTGCGTGTGTGTTTATGTGACATTGATTTGTACCAAGTAATAATCATCGTATATCCAGGTGCACCAGGTTCCATTTCAGTGATACTCGTTTTTCATCGTTTTCAGAGCCGACGCAGATATATCGGTACCTCAGAACAAGAAGTCTCATCTCTGTAAGTGCTATTCCACTGTCTCGGCTTGCATATTCTGCTCGCGTAGTGTAAACGATGAGGTTTCGTCACCTACGAGTACTCAGGGTTTAAGCTGGACGAAAAAACCTGTTAGCGATTTGCCTAATTTTGTTTGAAAATGTTAGTTAGTAAACAATTAGTTAGTAAACAATTAGTAAACAATGTTAGTTTAGTAAACAATGAACACACGCAGTGTAGCTCGGGTTAGCAAGTAGTGGCCTCGTGTAGAATTCGAGCGGCCTACGAATTAGCTTGTAGTGGTGGGTCCACTAGTGGGTAGAATTTGAGTTCAGCCTGAAGGGCCTAATTAACTTTAAGTTTTTTACGACTTTATGATGACTTTTTTTGCCAGATATAACTTTAATTCGCATTTGTCGAATTAGCGAACGACAGTTTAAACCCGTGTTTAGTCCGTCGTGATTTCGATTCCCTCTTGTGTTTTTTTTCCAGCCAATTTTACTCCAGAGAACACTTTCCTACATGAAACATCACATGTCAAGAAATAATGCAACAAGGTGGGAGATGTTTTGTCGATGTATGCAGCGTTCTTACCACGGCCTCTAACGCACGTCGTGCGTCGGCTCCGACGTGCCTCCAGAGTTGTAGCTAATTTGCTTACATCCCATGAATCCTTTGACACGCATTAATTGTCTTATCGTCATGCCTTCATTTCCCGCTGTGTTTACATTTGACAATCCCAACACAGTCGTGCTGTTTTCACAGCTTGATGTATGCGCCTCCGAACTGATCGAGTTTACTTGTGTGTCACTTACTTGTTTACCTGTTATGAGTTTACCTGTGTCACTTACGTGTTTACCTGTTATGAGTTTACCTGTGTGTCACTTACCTGTTTACCTGTGTGTCACTTACCTGTTTACCTGTTATGAGTTTACCTGTTTGTCACTTACCTGTTTACCTGTTATGAGTTTACCTGTGTGTCACTTACCTGTTTACCTGTGTGTCACTTACCTGTTTACCTGTGTGTCACTTACATGTTTACCTGTTATGAGTTTACCTGTTTGTCACTTACATGTTTACCTGTTACGAGTTTACCTGTGTGTCACTTACCTGTTTACCTGTTACGTGTTTACCTGTGTGTCACTTACCTGTTTACCTGTTATGTGTTTACCTGTTATGAGTTTACCTGTGTGTCACTTACCTGTTTACCTGTTACGTGTTTACCTGTGTGTCACTTACCTGTTTACCTGTTACATGTTTACTTGTGTGTCACTTACATGTTTACCTGTTATGAGTTTACCTGTGTGTCACTTACCTGTTTACCTGTTATGAGTTTACCTGTGTGTCACTTACATGTTTACCTGTTATGAGTTTACCTGTGTGTCACTTACATGTTTACCTGTTACGTGTTTACCTGTGTGTCACTTACCTGTTTACCTGTTATGAGTTTACCTGTGTGTCACTTACCTGTTTACCTGTGT